AGCGAGTGAGAGTGTGCGTGTGTGAGAGAGAGAGAGAGAGAGAGAGAGAGAGAGAGAGCGAGAGTGTGTGTGCGTGTGTGTATATACATGTCCCTCACTGATGTCTTCAACAGAAAATTTGGACCTGTAAAAACTAATTTAATGATTTTACACTATTGGGGAACAAGAACCAAACAGTTAGAAAATCTCAAATCTTTCTCATACTGTTTCCAAGCAACTGACACTAGAGATAAAGGGTCGGAAATATGAAGACATTAACTCTGATATGGAGCTTTCAAGCACCCACACGGTAAATCACACTTTCAAAAAACAAAAGCAACAATTTAAGGTGTTTTAGCTAAACATTAACCAATTATATTTGTTATTTTTAAGAATACCATTATTAATTGCAACAAAACAGCCGTGAATATTAAAAATTGATTACTTGTCAAGTAATTAACATGAAAACATTGTCTGATTCATATCTCACAATCCTCAAGTACATATTACATATAGACTTCAACAATGTGGAATTGTGGAACCCAGTCAAAAATGAATTCAATGTATAATGTGGAATGTCACAGAATTTGGCAAAATCTGGATGAATATACCAGTCCAGGGTATCCACAGGGTGTTTTTTTTTTTATTTTTTTACTGTACAAATAAAATGATCATCAAGACTGAGTGGGGAAGGGAAATGCCTATGGTGACATTAAATGGTAAAATTAATGTACAAACCATCATTTAAACAACTTTGCAGTTCAAATACAGGTTTAAGAAAAGAGATGAGTCAAACGTATAAATGCTTATATTAATATAAATTTTAAATATAAGATATCTATATATATGAGATTTATAGAATGCATATTAGCTTCTTGTAAAAGCACCGGTTTCCATTTACAACTCTGTGTGTTTGCTGCATAAAAATACAGGTCGATTTTCACATTGGTCTGAACAAAAACAGTAGATGGGCTGATTGAAAAAGCAAATTCATTCTCTGCCAGTAGCTGGTGCTTATGGAATGGCAGAAATATAGCAGTTTCTTTGGTAACCCCTTCATAGAAAACTACACAGCACAACTAGTTGCTTATTAGCATTTATATTACTAGCATATTGGCTGCTTATTAGTACTTATGAAGCACATATTAATGTCTTGCAATGTTCTGCATGACCAAATTTTAAATCCCTTAGTCCTACAAATACCTAAACCTAAAGGGGTCATGAACTGAGAAATCAAAATTCCCGTGATCTTTTGTCATATAAGAGGTCATTGTCCAATAAAAACATCCTGTAAGTTTCAGAACGCAACACTTTCTCGTTAGTCTACAAACAGCTTATATTGAAGTCGATCTGCCAAAACGACAGCTTGTGGAATGTGTCACTCTATGACGTAATAGTCCGGCTAAAAGGATTTTAAATGCACGACGTGGAGGCCAAGAACCACCCGATGCGAAGCAGAGCCATTATTTTCGTCAGCTACGGCTCGTTAGCTCTAGCATTCTGCCCGCTTCAAATCAGATACAGAGATAAAATAGTGCGGTAAAACCACATTTATTTGAATGAATTATAGCATTTATTTGAATTAATTATCAATGGATCTATTGAGCGAGAGAGAGAGCGAGAGAGAGCGAGAGATGACAGTTGTGTGTGTGTGTTACCTGCGTCTGTGCGTCTCTCTCTACAAACAATGAAGCGGTTTAGTTACTTCTAAAACCACATTTATTTGAATGAATTATAGCATTTATTTGAATTACTTATCAATCGATCTATTGAGAGAGAGAGAGAGAGAGAGCGAGAGAGAGCGAGAGATGACAGTTGTGTGTGTGTGTTACCTGCGTCTGTGCGTCTCTCTCTACAAACAATGAAGCGGTTTAGTTACTTCGATTTTACCTCGTTGCTGAGGAACATAATGTAGCGATTTAATATCTATGCTATTTTATTAATAAAAGTCGCGGGGCAGCACCGACAATAAGTTTCTGTGTGTGCGCAGCGCGATCTGCAATCTCCTTCCTCTCTCCCTCTCACTGTGTTTATGTGCGAGTGATGTGTGTGAGTGTGCATCAATTAAAGCAGCGAATTAATATATAGAACGGTAATTAAACTGACTTGGAACTACCTGTGCATTAAACGGTTTTAATGCATACCTGCCAGCCAATCAGAATAGAGTATTCAGACAGAACATGGATTAAAAAATTTAAAAAAAAGGTATTTTATAGGACCATTTAATGGTTCCCGTTTCATTTCTAATCAAGCATGACCAAAAAAAAGGATCTGTGATTCAGTGAGGGAGTCAGGTGTGCATTGCTCTGAACGATTCGCTGACTGATTAAAGTGGTTGACTGTGAATGTACATAAGCCAACAGCAAACGCTGGACAGAACGCACGTCTGAATGCCATACCTGCGGTAAAGCGGCTCCACGATCAGGTGCAGCAGCTGGCACAGTGCGATGGCGATGTCCTTGTGGGAGGTGGCGTAGAAAGCTGGCATCTGATCCATGATGCTCTGAGCATGCTGCCAGTCACCGATCCTCAGCAGCGCCTCCAGCAGCCCCAGCTTCTGGTTATCAGGAGGCTGACGTGAGAGGAGAGACAGATTAGAGGAGCGGAGGACACACCTCCACATACGGCATCATTACACGCTCCTCTGTTCATTATTTCTTCTGCTGAGGAGTCTGAGGGGATTCTTATCTTCAGGGACAGATGACACACGCACACCATCTGTGTTGGTTCATACAGCTTACAAGTCACACTAATGCAAAGCCCTAAAAACGGCTCTAAAACAAGGATTTTCACATAATCAGTCAAAAGTGGAAAACAATGTAAACTAGGCTGCAACTAAAAACTATTTTGATTCATTTGAGTTGTATTATTCATCTGATATTCCACATCATGCCCAGTGCTTTCATTCAACCTCGATGCACAGTAAATGCACTGTCAAAGCATGAGACCACATGAAACTACACGCACAACGAACTCTGTGGCTTTAATGTACACCTGCTTTGAAAGTATTGTGTTCCACTTGTCTACTTTCTTTTAAGCTCTGCAAAAGTGGCATTATACATGCAAATTCTTCTGATTTCACTATTTAACATGCTTGAAATGGCAAATAGTTACATTAAATAAGAGACAAGACGACGATCCTCTAATTTCAAAGGGAATGAATATAAACGCAGCGGACGATGTTAAAGCCATATACGAGATACCTACATGAGGAAAAATGCATTGTTGGTTGGCGCCACCTAGCGTGCAGGTGAGAATTAAAAGGCGAACAATCGCTTCGCGCTCCTCTGCGATTCGCCTCGCTTTTTCACATCGCGCTCAGTGTGAAACGGCCTTTACAGTATTGCTGTTTGAGATTTTATTAATGAAATAACTGACAATTGACAAGACATCTACACTGAAAGATTTAATGTACAGATGCACAAAACCAAAAGCAGTCATTGCTTAACTGACTGTCATTTGTGTGTATTTTTAATCAACTTGGTCCTGAAGTGTGGTACTTCTGATATCCTAGACCAAAGAGATTCAAAAATCCTTCAGTGTGACAACTAGAATATGAATATGTGAGGTTGGATGACATCCTTTGAATTTAGACTGTACAATGAAAGATGAAGAGTTTTGAAGCCTTATGTTCAATAAGGCTGCATTTATGTGCATAAAGTATATATACACTTCTAAATAATGAACCGAAGAGAGATTGGTTTTAATTAGTAGAAGTAGAGATAATTAATGTCTACTGCTGTTATTGCTCAGCATTTTAAAGCCCTGTGTGCATTCTGCATGCATATTCTGTCACTATGCAGGGATCATTTAATTTAAACCATTAACTTCGTAAACCGCACGACTAAACTGCAGCTTATCTCTGCATCTGGAAGTGAATTTAGTGAATCCGAGGCTGTCAGACACAGAGTCCCTGAGTGCATGCTGAGTGTCTGTACATGCGCTGCTGTATAATCAAGCATCTGATCAGCCCAGCAAAAGCCATTTATGTATCTCTGACATTTACATGCATTTAGACCATTACATCATCAAACTCTTCTGTGCTCTTCTGCCAGTGTTGTTATCGTAAACTAACTAAGAAACTAATTCAACTAAGAAAATTAATTCAAAGAAAGCTGAAATAAAACGGACGAAAAACCTAAATGAAAATTAGAAATGTTGCCTTAGCAACTAACTGAAATAAAATAAGCTAAAGTTGGTTTACTAAAATTACTAAAGCTAGTTACTAAAAGTTAAAGCTATATAAAAATGATTAATAATTAAAAAGATAAATAAAAAAAAAAATGACTGAAACTTCAACCAAAAGTCTTTATTGACCACGTGTATGACCTGCTGACGATTACTACAGCCAACTTTGACTTGTCCTTCAGCACATGTGAACAAATAAGAAACGCATTTACATAAAAACACGTACAACTGAAGCCTGTCAGGCAAGCAAAGCCAAAAAGTGATGCATTTTTGTTCAAGCTCTTCTTCAGCATGGGTTTGGAATGGCATGATTATTTGTGGGTGAACTATTCCTTGAACAGCGTCACTGAACAGTCATTCTTCACATTTCTGTCTGGTGCACAATGACACGCTGCTTTACTGAAAATAAGTTACCTTCTCATTCTTTTCCTCTTCCTTCTCCTTTTCTTTCTCCTTGTCCTCCGTCTTTTCAGAGGGGACGAGCACCATGGTGAGTTTGCGGGCGATCTGCTTGGCCTCCAGGATCGCTCTCTTGTGCTCTTCCACGATGCTGGAATCCAGCGGCAGGAGCTGTGTGAAGAGACGATTTACTCAATCTGTCCTGTCTTCCTATTCCCATTCCTAATATTAATCCCAATCATTCCAAATTATATCCATGTCTTTCTTTTAAAACAACAACAACAAGACTTTGTATTGATGCACAGAAGTTGCGTAAGTGCATTTATTCAGCGACCTCAATTGCAAACAATATAATCGAGACCAATGTTTGGAAGGCTTGATGGCAGATTTATGCAGCAAACAGTGCAAACACACACTGGCTGTATGAGCAAAATATCTCAATGAAGAGCTGTAAACTTCAGCACAGGTTGCAAAAATAAAGTAAAACACAAGGCAAAAAAATTAATCAAATAAAAATAAATAAATAAAAGTCTCCTCTCAAGAGAAAAGCTCTGATGGGGGATTTAAACTCTTGACATCTGGCTACTGCAAACTATATTTTTACTCGTCTTTTTGTTGAAGAAAATAGAAATAGGGCTGGACAATAATTCAATATCAATATGTATCGCGATATAATTTTTTTCAATAAAGGTGATATGATTTTTAAACACATTTCCGATATTTCGATATACATTACCAGTTTCCCATACATTGATTTATTTGTGGCGTTTGACTTCGTTGAATAAACATGAGCACTGCACGTTTCAAAATCATAACACGGCGCGGGTGTTTTATATGAATGTATCTCTGAAGGGAACCGACTCTTCAGAAAAGTTTCGATGGCATTTTCATTTGATCTGATAAAGTAGCGTTCATGAGCGGAGCTGCTTTGATTACAGCCGTTACTGGGGAAACCGCTAGTTTTATCACTCTAAAAGCGCCTCCTGCTGGCAGAGAATGAGTTTGCATTTTAAATAAGCCCATCTCCAGCAACATTTCCAGTTTTTGTTGTTTTTCAAGACCGAAATTAAGAAATATATCGTGATATCAATTTTGGCCATATCGCCAAGCCCTAAATAGAAAGAAATTTTAGATTTAGATATTTTTTTACTCATCTTTTTACGTCAACCATATCAACCATATTGCATGTTGATATATCCACAACTAGTGTTTAATGATGTCAGTGTCGTCTTGTCTTTAAGATATTTTGTTTGTTTTCATTATCGAAATAAACACTACTTTAAGTTTTACCATTTCCACTGGCATCAATGTGTCATTTTGACCAAAAACCAGTCACTATTCAATATAAATCAGTGCCTGAGAGCACCAAGAACAAGCTCATTTTGTCCAGGACTAATTACACTTGTCAGGTGTAGCTTACTGAAGATTCTCCAAAGCATGCAACACATTTAACCCTAGTATTAAAACGCATTTTGTGCATTTCTGTTGCAGATTTTGTGACTGCATTTTCGGCACTAAACGGCATTAACCCAAGCATGACATTAAGCTGGCATTATGCTCTGAGCTGCTCGATTATGAGCATGATGCTCCAGATGCATGTAGGTCCCACTTCAACTGCAAATATTCAACCTCGTCCACAATAACACATTTAATACCCTGTGTAAATTAAGTCAAAGAGCACCTGTAATTCTAATAAGCAGAATTACATTTTAACAACTTAAAAGGATGGTATTTACTGCTTGTTCTGTTCAAAAGGAAGTTATCTGATACAATTGAATCACCAGAAAAGGAAGATGCTGCTATATTGCACAGTATGAACAAGTTCTTTCTCCCAGAAAAAAAAAAAGATAATAGTAATTATTATTAAAAGATAATACTACTACTAGTTCTACTACTATACTAATAATACACAACACACTAAGATCTGATGAGCTGCTGGGTTCATGAATATTAATCATGTTGTCAGCATTGGCTCGAACTGATTTGCTGATTTGGTAATAGATGAGCGCCAGCCAATGAGATTACTGTTTGTGCATTAGCTCCGCCCACTACCAGAGAAATCGGCATATCTTCTGCTTGTTCTTAAAAGCTGAAGAATTCCAAATGAACTCTATTTTGACAGGAAAATATAACACAGAATATTGTTTACATGTAGCGCGTCGATTCAGTGTGGTGTGTGAGACTCTCTCTCTTTGCATGTGTGAGAAACAGCGCTATCAGCAAAGCACACTAGACTTCACTTCACACTAGAGTTTACGGTGCGTCAAATACAGGTGCGCTGCACATCCATTCAGATGAATTGAAATAGTACAGATATGGACAGCGAAACTCTGAAGCGCTCAGTGTTCAGCGAGTGAAAATATAACTGTACTAAACTTATAATAGCCTCTAACTCACACACCAGCGAGTAAAATCTAAGAATTTATTAGCCAATGGCTAACGGTAGACATAATTTAGTCGCCCAGAGTAAAGATTTAGTCGCATATGTGAGTGATTTACTCGCAGTGTAGAGGGTTGTGACACTACTCCAACCGCCATGACTCTTCCACTTACATGAACATAGAGGTCTTCAAGAGCGATGAGATTGTGTTGAAGAAGAGCTGCAGCGATGTGGTACAGAGATGATGGCGTTTCTCCATTAGGCTCCTGTGAAAACACACACAAAAACAAAAAACACCAGATGAACATGATTACAGACACAGAGAAGGGCGAACAAACCCAGCTGCACAATATAATGTTCACAACGTTTCCCATTCCTATGAAGTATTTGGATCACAGTGGATTCCTTCGACTTTCGTTCATTTGAAAAAAAAAAAAAAAAAAGTTGACAGAAAATTACACTTGATACAGCAGTCATCTTGTATGAGTCACTGAATATTACTGCACAATAACATGAACTAAAACTAAAGGCAGACTTCAAATGATATACTCTGCACTGCAATGACAAACGTTTGACTGGAAATAGTTCTGAAAACCTAGCAACATGCCTAACTTGAGAGCAATTTTTGATTTAATATTTATACATGATGATCAGGATCAGAAATTAACTATCCGTTTACTCCAGCCCAAAAGCATAAGATAAACCCTAAATGATCTAATCTCTGTAATAAATGCAAAGGATCGGAGGGAACCCTTATTCATTGTTTTTGGAATTGTATGAAGATCCAACAATTCTGGATGGGTGTCCTAAAGGAACTCGAGAATATATTCTGCTGTCCATTACAACTAGGACCAAAAGCATGTTTACAAGGCATAAGTCAGGAATTTCCATTCAAATTCCAAGGGATTCACCTTCTCCAAATTCTATTATACTGTGCTCGCAAATGCATACTTGTATGTTGGATAACAGATCAGAACCCCGTCAATTACTCAGTGGATAAACACAGCTAAAATTCTTAAAGGACAAACCTTTCAATTTCTATAAGATATGGGACCCTTTTCTCACCCATCTTGGTGTGGAAGAAACTACTAATCCTTACTAAAGTTGGGAATTCAGAATTTAGCATGGAAAGGTTGAAAGACTACCCTTTTGTATTTATTAAAAAAAAAATTTGAGAGTAATAATTTAAGTTCATGTCCATATCATTCGTTTTTGTTTTGTTTAGTTTTTTTCTTGGTGAATTTACACAGCTTGTATGGATGTTTTGGATTTGTGAAAACCCTGTTAATGTCAAAACCTACATTAAAAAAAAAAAGAAGAAAAAAAGAAATTAGCTATCATTAAGGGCAATATTTGTCCCCTTGGAAATGATTTCTAGGGTTTATTTATTTTTTACATTTTTAAAGGCAATTTTTATAATGACCTTCTTAAATGCACCCGTTATCTTTTTTGTCAAATTCTTGAATTTAACCAATTACTTCAATCAATCAGAATACTATAGACAGTTACCAATAAAATGTTCAGCATCAACATTAACAAAAGCCATCTTTACACTGCAATGGTGGAAATAAGCTGGCAAACTGTACACAACAACTGCATAATGGAAATGTATAATTTACATAAAATTACAAAAAAAAAAAAAAACAGGAAGTCATTACAGGGTAGGGCTGCAATATGACAAATCATCACTGTCAATTATTGTTCTTGATATATTAATGATAATGGCCGATCAATAGTACACATTAAAAATAAAAATTTAGTGTTTGGGGAAACGGGATGTCATATTCTGGCTACACAGATAAAACAAGCTGAGAACAGTTTATGAATTAGTTTATTGCTTTTTACGCATTAGAAAATCAAGACTTCACATTGGTTACTTTAGTGAAAATATGAAAGCGGGAAAACAAAACTCAACAGAAACATGTGTGATTGGTTATAATGCTCAATACTGCAAAATATGCAAAAACATTTCACTTTATTAGCTGTAATAGATTTAGTTGAATTGTGCAGAAGCGTTTTGCTCATTTTGTTGGTCCCCGTTACACACATAACACACACACAGGTTTGAAGACAAAGCCTTCTGTCACATGTCTGTGTATTTAACTGTAATGAAGCAAAGATATTTACCCGCTGTGGGTTTATGTAAAGGAAACCACGAACACAGCTGTATGATGGACTGTACCTGGTGGAACTTGAACTTGAAGCCCAGCATGTGGCAGAGGGTCTGGTGCTCGCACATGTAGGACTTGATAAGAGGGATGAAGAACTCATCCTGATCAGAGCGACACTCATACACCTCTAAGATGATGTCCAGCACACGGTTTGGGTCCAGATTGAAACATCCTGAGGACAGAAGACGGGAGGCATCAGCTCATGAGCTCAATGACAGTCAGCACACAAGACAGCTGTAATCATGACAGTTGGTTTGAGCTCACTCAAGTGATCATAAACGTTTGTTTTGGGCCGCTGTGCCAGTCATTATCAGGGCTCAACAGAGACAGTCCAGTGACCCGGGGAAAGTGTGAGAGTTTCATCATTTGCCCTGCTGCTCCACTGCTGTGCTGCTGGCACTGTGTGTATTGTCATTAAGGATGGCTTGATACCACTTTTTATGTCCGATACAGATACTGCAACCATGAGCAACCAATCCAATACTCACTGTTATTTATATCAGTTTAGAATTACTATACTTCATTAACTTACTAACTACACACTGCTTTATTATAAATGAAGAAAAAAACAGAAAAACAAGTCCGTACATAAAATATATATATGTGACCCTGGACCACAAAACCAGTCATAAGGGTCAATATTTTTAAATTGAGATGTATGCATAATCTGAAAGCTGAATAAATACGCTTTCCATTGATGTATGGTTTGTTAGGATAGGACAATATTTGGCTGAGATACAACTATTTGAAAATCTGGAATCTGAGGGTGCAAACAAATCTAAATATTGAGAAAATCATCTTTAAAGTTGTCCAAATTGTTTTTTTTTCTTACCATCTTTTGGGGGTTTCTTGCTTTTAGACTTTAGTAAATTAGTCGTCGCGCACATCCCTAATATACAGTCCACTTCACTGCGTGCTTCAGAATGACTCACATTTACATCATTTCCAGCATTTTTTTGGACAGATGATTACATTTCAGTAATAATAAGAACAACAAGATTATCATCTTCCCTGAGGAATCTTAGAGGGTTTCAGTCGATAAGAAAATACTTTATGTTCAGAAGTGAAATTAAATTAGATACTGATCAAATTAACCTTAACATAGTGGCTTTTTTTTTTTTTCAAAAATGCTATCGAATATTGATATTTTTCAAGGTATTGTATCGAAGTTAGAAATTCCAGTATCCTGATAACACTAACAGATATTACTATTACTATTTACTAAGAGTAAAATATTACTCTTCAGTAAATGTCACTAAAAAGACAAGACAGGCTATATAGACTGCAACAGTTCCTGCACATTTTTTCAGCAGACCTGGTTCCTTCATTAATTTTACCCAAATGGATAGATATAGATATAGATATATATAGATATAATAATAAAAAAAAGTCTTTAAGTTATAGGTTCTAAGCCATGACCCAAACCACACAGTACAAGGTGAATCACAACATTATAAAATTGCATTTGAACCAAGAAAGGATTTTAAACACGTAATTAAATATCATACATATTAACAAAGTTTTATTCTAAATTAAGGACTCTTCTATATATATTAAAAAAAAAAA